AATAAGATCGTACTAATTCATGCGGATCAGCTACTAAGCCAAAAAGTTACGAATTGCCATGAGATAGTGTTGCCAAAAGCCTTCCCTAAACCCAACTGTGATTGGGCGATGAGTGAATCCTTCTAAATTGTACAAATAAGATCGTACCAATTCATGTGGATTAGCCACTAAGTCAAAAAATTACGAAATGCCATGAGATAGTGTTGCCAAACCCCAGCCCTAAACCCAACTGTGATTGTGTGTTGAGTGAATCATTCTAAATTGTACAAATGAGATTGTATGAATTTATGTGCTTTAGCCACTAAATCAAAAAGTTTCGAACTGCCATAAGACAGCGTTGCCAAACCCCAGCCCTAAACCTACCCCTAAGTGGGGGATTAGCGACTCATACTAAAATGTAAGAAAGAGATCGTACAAAATTGGCCACTGAAGCAAAAAGTAACGAATTGTCGTGAGATAGCATTGGAATAAGTGTTGGGCAGTGTGTCGATTCAGATAAACACAATTAAAATTTTATTTAACTTTGGTCAAAAATAATCAAACAAGTGTACACTTTCACAATGTTAACATCATCATCATCATCATTTAACAAGGAACAAGGTCTGTGAGTACGCATCCGACCTGTTGGTTCCCAGATTTAAAGAGCGTCACAATCAGCTATACAACAACTTTTCTGCATCGTCAACTGTTATGTTTGTCATCAGTTTTGCAGCCGCATGTCAAAATTCAGCAGCACGCAAACTGTATGTCGTCACCGGTTTCTTCAAATCGATAAGAAATTAGTTCGGATAAGACGATTTTTCTTTTCTTTTTTTTTGCGCAACTTCAATTGACTGAAGGAAAGCCAGTTTTGTGTCAAGAGGCACTCGACACTTTCGATTTCAGTGTTTTCTACAATGACCGTATATCTTGTATATTAGTGTCCAAATACTACACTGAAAAATTTGGATTTAAATTTTTTTTTTAAAGGTAAGTGGTTGTAAACAATGTATATGGGCTGAATATAAATGCATTTAAATTTTTTTTTTACATTTTATTGGTTTGTTTAAATTCAGCCCATATAAATAGTTTGCAGCTACTAACCTTAAAAAAAATTAAGTAAATCCAATTAATCCTTTTTTTCAACGTTAGCCGCGCAAACCATAGCAGCACAAGAACAGATAAACGGAGTGTTAAAAGAACAAGAATAATAATGCATTAGGGTAAGGTCAAATGGGAATCATCTGAGGGTTATTATAACAAACAGACTTAAGGCGGTAGAATCCCTTTACAAAGTAAAAACTGGAGGAAAAAAAGAAAGAAGAAAAACAGACAGCAATACTGACGCTCATCATGGCCACATCCTCAATCGAACAGTGCAACTGTATCTTCAAGTAGTACAATATGGAGTTTTGCTTCCCAATCAGCACATTATGAGGAAATTTCAACATTTTGACTATCATGTTTAGTTTGATGCTTTTATATTAAATAAGGTAACACTATAATAACTACACACCATTAATCATTTACTAAGCATTAGCAAATAGTGAATTCATCATTTGTTAAGCATCAACATTATAAGACATTAGTAAAACGTTTATAATATAGCTACAAATGCTGTATTCTTGACTTAAAAGCAATAATAATTGCACTTTCATACTTTAATGATTCGCTTTTGATGACTAATTTAAGCATCGCGTTATTTACAAATAAAATACAGTTGTATTTAAGAGTAGTTGGTGGTTTTGAAGATCATTCAGAATGAGTTGGTAAATGATAAATAAACTACTCAAATCAACATTTATATATCTTGTTATTATTCAGGCATATAGTAATGGTTACTCTGCATGTTAATAGATGCTTTAATAACAACTTTAGTGTAGTTCATGTGTAAACTACAAGCTGCATTTTGTGACCTAATCTAAAGTGAGGACTATTTATACTTAATAAATCCCTAATAAATGACAATGAATGGCTCTGAATCAAATAAACAATACATCAGCAATCTTATCTAAAAACAAAATTACTGTTTACTGTCTAAACTAGATTTATAAGGGATTTATAAAGCATAAATAGTCCTCACTTTAGGTTAGAAAATAGCATGAAGCTCCGTTAATGAAGCATTTGTTAACATGCGGAGTAACCATTACTATATGCCTGAAAAATAAGATGCATAAATGTTGATTTGAATAGTTTATTAATCATTTATTAACTCATTCTGAGTGATCTTAAAAAATCCCCAATGACTCAAATACAAACGGTTTGTAAATAATGCACCACTTACATTAGTAATGAAAAATTAATGATTTAACAGGCATCATGACCACCTGATTGATCTTTCATCCATAGGTTATCATCATTATTTTAATTGCTTATTATTATTTATCAGAGTTATATGATAGAGTTATTATTCATCAGAGTTATATGATTATATGTCAGTATATCATACAATCCAAGATGTGGGCCAAAAATGTATTAATTTTATGGACCTTTAAGGGCTAACAAAGTCTGATGGTACAATTAGGCACATTATGCATGCGTTTACAAGTCACGAATACAGCATGTGTAGATGTACTGCTTGCTAATGCCTTATAATATAGAGTTGATTCTTAACAAATGATGAATCGACTATATGCTATTGCTTAATAAATGATTCAGTAATTATAATGCGTTCCTCCCCATTAAGTAAGTTTATAATGGCGACACACTATGAATCATCCATTAAGCATTAGCAAATAGTGAATTAATTATGTTAAGCATCAACTCTATATTAAAATATGTTTGCAAGCAGATACACATTCTCTATTCTTCACGTATAAGCACATGTATAATGTGCTATATATTTGTTTTTCATATTTTGTTGCTGATAAATCTTTCATGACATTAAGTATCGCATTATTTACAAATCATTTGTATTTAAGAGTCATTGGGGATTTTTAAACTCACTCAGGATGAGTTGGTGAATGATTAATAACTATTCAAGTCAACATTTATATCTTATTATTCAGGCATATGAAGAGTTCAAATGCAAAAACTTGTAAATGGCGTCTCAAAGTTTCCTCTAAACTGAGCATTTTTATCAGGCTCCTGTGAGTAAGTTCAGCAATATCTAATAAAAGAATAAGTCTCTATCATGGTCTTTAAAGTCGAATAGCTCAACATAAACAAAGGAGGCTGAGAAAAATGCTTGTTTTCAATGGAAATTTTACAACATTTAGAGGTTTTTGCATCTGAACTCTTCATATACTAACAGTTCATTTGCATGTTAATAAATGTGTTATTAACTCAACTTCATCCAGTTTTCTTTTATTTAAAGTGAGGACTATTTATGCTTCATTAATCCCTAATAAATGATGATTAAAGGCTCAGTATCAAATGAACAATACATCTTTGCAATCTTATCTAAAAATAAAATTACTGTAAAGTTTAAACATTGCCGAATTACAGTCAAAACATAACCCAAAAGTGGATCAAACCACAACAATATAATAATTTAACAATATACAGGGTGAACTTTTTAAAAAAATCGAGAACTCTGCATAAAAGAAAAGAAGAGCTAAACTCTGTCATTGATTTAAGGAAGCTCTGAGGTTTTATTTGGTTGCCTATTTGAATGAAAGGTACCCAAAGCAATGGAACAGCTCATAACAGAGCACTTCACCACTGGCCTGCAAGAAGCTCTGACCTCACCCTGTGATTTCTTTTCTATGGGGTATGTTAAAGATATGGTGTTTCGACCACCTCTACCAGCTAACATTGAGGAACTAAAAGAAGGTATAACTGCAGCTATCCAAACTGTTATGCCAGTAATGCTACAGAGTGTGGATCGACATCGAGTATCAGGTTAATGTCACTCAAGTGTCTGGAGGGGATCATATTGATCATCTATGAACTAGTTTTCGACTGAAAAACGTTTAAGTACTCTTCAGATTCTGTCATGCTTCCTTGATAAATACAGATTTTCACAGTCGTGGTGTTCTTTTTGACTCACCCTGAATTACCATACAACATTTTAAATGATATTTAGCGATGTTTAAACTGCACAGTAATTTTATTTTAGATAAGGTAGCAAAGGTTTATTTATCATTTCATACGGTTTCATTTGTGTATCTTCAAATAGATAGAAATGAATAAAGTAGCTTATTTTTTCTGTTTTGAAAATAACCAAGCCTTTAATCATCATTTATTAGGGATAAAGAAGCATAAATCCTCACTTTAGGTCACAAAACTGCATGAAGTTCAGTTAATAAAGCATTTAATAACATACAAATTAACTGTTAGTATATGACTGAAAAATAAGATCTATAGACCATTTCATTCAATGTGGTGATGTCATTGGTCCATGAACATCTCCTGCTTGTCAAACTATTTCATAACTATAACAAGAGCTAATTCAATCATATCATTAAAACAGCAATCATAACATTATTTATCGATATGTGGACCTTCTTGAAAGCTATATAATTTAAAAATGTAAAACAGGAAATACTTTAGGACCATTGCTATTGTTTACATCTCTGAAAATGGTCTATAAATGTCAATTTGAATAGTTTGTTAATCGTTTACCAACACATTCTGAGTGATCTTAAAAACTGCCAACTACTCTTCAATGCAACTGGTTTGTAAATAACGCACAAAAATTAGTAATAAAAAAAATAAAAATTAAAGTATGAAAATACAGTCATTAAGCACATTATATATGTGCTTTTAAGTCAAGTATACAGCACTTATATCTGCAGTTATAAACTGCTCCCTAACATCTGTTAATATAGAGTTAATCCTTAACAAATAATGAATTCACGACTTGTAAATGCTCAATAAATGATTCATAATGTGTAGCTATCATAAAGTGTTACCAAAAATTGGCAAAATTCTCCGATAATGCTGCCGATTGAGTTCAGCAGGATGATTTCACATTTTAACCACTGGCGCTCCTGATCTACATATGCAGATTACATGCAAATCTAGAACATAAAGATCACACATACCTGCTGATAATGTAAAAAACGCTTGTTTTCTTTGTAGTTATGTTACTTTTATTAAGTGGTTTGACACCAGATGGTGTAATATATAGATACAGTCAGTGAGTAGATATTATTATGCATGAGAAAACAAGAAGAAAAAAAAAGTAGTATAAAATAAAAACAGAACAAAAATAAAAACGGAAAAAGAAACTGTCCACTGACCAAAAAAATGGAGACCTGTTTGTAAGTGCTAAAAAGGTAGAATGAGATGGCCCTGAGAGTCGGGCCAGGGGAAGGAATGTTGACAGGCAATAAACAAACGGCCTGCGAGTACATAACGATTGACAGCGGGACGTTACTCATCCTGGTGCACATCTGTACTTTTGGTCGTCAAATCATAAAAACGTAAGGCTCAGCCGAGAGACGAATACATCTGCAAAGTTGTTCGAGCATCTTAATGCTGATTCCGTTATTGGAGAGTTGGTCGATATTGGCCTTCGAATCTTTTACTATAAAGGATTGGGGGGGGGGGGGATCAGGAATTATTTCAATTTTCCAAAATATACGGTCTGTCTTTCAACTTCCTGGCGTAAAACAAGTGCTTCTTTTGTCAGGACGACACTGCTGCCATATTTCCATTACAGATTTAACGACTTAAACTTATCACTTGCAAAGTTCGAAATTTCTTGAGCGTCCTCCGACTTTCCGCTGGAGGAATTGGGGTGTTAGGAGATGTTTCTCTTTATTTTTTTTTTCTTGATTTTCATTTCTTCTTGGTTTTTAAATCACTCTCTCTCGTTTAATTCATTTTGTCCTGGAATATATACAGGTTGTTGGTGGCGGCCACAGCTATGACGTTCTCTTTGGGGTGCCAGGCGGTGTGTAGGATCTTCTTGTTGAAGTCCAGGCTGTCGACGCTGATTTCGTCTTTCTTCCGCTTGCCGCCGGTGCAGACCTTGCGGGGTTTGAGCATGGCACGGGGTTTACTGCTCTCCCTCGACGCCTCCAGTGTGATGTCCCTGCGCGTGTTCCTGTCGAACATCCTGAAGAAGTTGTTGTAGGAACCCGTCATAATGGCACTGAGGAGCCCATGAGAGAGGAGAAGAAAAATTAGTGGTCATTATCATTTAAGAGTACTTAAGAGAGTGCTTTCACACCTAGACATTTGTTTCAGAACGTGGCACATTTGTCCCCTTATGCTGATTTATACATCTGTGTCGAGTGATCACCATGACTCCTTGCGAATAGCTTAGCATTTATACTTCTGCATGCTGTTTGTGTAGCTCTGCAATAACACTTCCGAAACGCTAGCTAGCAGTAGGCTTTATGTTCTCCTGTGTCAAATTTCTTTGCGGGTGTTTTGTTTTTTCTGAACCCTAACTTAATGTACAAGTAGCTAAAACTCATTTATTTGGAGGCGGGAATTGGCTGACGTGCAACAACTTTAATCATGAGGTAAACAAAACAAAAGTTTCCATCAGGAAGACCATTAGGAGACTTGACAACTGTTAAACACACGTTTAAACAAGCTACCTCCTTTTCCTGCAGCTCTTAAACCAGCCCACACTCAAAGCTACCACCCTGACCAATCACAGAGCTCGCGTTATGCATAGTCTAGATGTGGTTACATTTTTTGAGAGGAGCGCATCAGCCACGGTAAGGGCTATGGGACCATGCGCTTGACCATATGCGTACACTCAATGCAGAAGTATAAATCATTCTTTAGCTCTGTTTGTTCGATCATATGTGAACAGTGCAATAACGCTCTGATCTGTGCCAAAACAATCCGTCGGAGATCTGAATGAGGTGGTCTTGACTCAGTTGAAACAAACTCTGGAGCAGGTCGGTTGTAGCGAAAAAGCAATATGATTCAATGAACTATCGAACCAAGCTATATCACAGTGTATTGTGGTTTCGTAATTGGCATACACAGGGGCATAGTGGAAATTTTAAAATTGGGGGGACTGCTGTATGAGATGCAAAAGTTTACGTTTATATAATTATTAGCTACCTGTTTCTAAATGGTCTGTCTCTAAAAGTGAGAGGGACGTATCCCGAATAATAGAATTCATAGTATTATTTAATATAACTCTATAATAAAAATTGTATAATAATATAATTAATATTAAAATACAATAATATTATAACACTAATAACAATATAATAGTATTAATAATTAATATT